TAGTATTTTATTTGGGGATACTAGGGTACCCAATATAGAGTAAGATTATATGCTCCTTTTGGGGTATAGTATTTTATATAAGGAATATTATCTTACTGGGTTCAACCACCAAAAAAAGGCTACTCAACTAAGGAGAAGGCTCAGCGCAAGAAGTCAGAAGATGAGGATGATGAGCTCTGATTCAAGGATGGCGCCCAGTGACGCGTTTAGGGTTTAGGGTTTAGGGTGGTGCCTGCCACTTAGGGGTCAGGTAAGAAACGGGAAAGAAGATGGAAGCCACAAATTAGATTTCAGGAGGGAAAACTGAGGCTTCAGAGGGAGTGGAGGAGGGAATACATCTACTATGATAGGGGATTCTACAGGGAGTATTCTAGGGGTCCAGCGCCCCCACACTCCCTAAAGCTCATAAACCCCAGTATAGGCCACTACACAATCCCACTTTCCATGTCATTTTCCATTTCCTTCTCGCTCCCAACGCCAAACCCAACAACAAAAACCTAAGTAATGTGGTAATTTATGGTAATTTCAGGTGCTTTTTCACCCCTCCCTAGACGCCAGTAAGGCAGGAACTTGGCCATGCCAATCCGGATAGAGGAGTGCCGCAGACGCGGCAACACAATTTGGCACTTCCAGGCGAGCAGACGATCATCCAGGCAATGATGTCGACCAAGTTGGCGAGCGAAGTGCCGAATAGATCACTTGCACTTGAGGGTTCGTGGGTCGGTATAAGTAGGTTCATAAGTACATAATACCCCTGAATTCAGTGACACGGATAGCCTTACCTATGCAGAACCCAAATTTTAGCTACCCATGGGCTCCCAAGCATGCAAGTAAGGTCCTAAACATGGGCCCGGGTCCCGAACATGGGCTCCGACTTGTTTCCTTGGTGCCACCTATGGGCCGATAGTTCCGCACCCGAGAATGAATCACTTGCACGGCGCTGAGCTGGAAAGCTTGGTCTCCAAAGTGCCCTGGAAGCGTAAAATTGGAAAAGGTGATGGAGCCACTTGAGCTAGAATTGTGCAAGCCGGTGCTCGAGCAACAAGCATATATGCATGTATATGTGTTTCTTTATGTATATGTGTGTGATGTGTCTGTGGATGTGTGCATGTCTACACAAGGATTGGCAAGGGGAGTGGCAGAAGATGACATGGAAATTAGTGTTTACGATGTAGGGACATGGTGGAGTGAGCAGAGGTACTAGAATCAGGGATAATCTGGGGTTATGTAGAGATGACTGGGGGCCCACTCCCTCTCAAGCAGCAGTTGGTTGTGCAGATGTTCCGGGTATGGATTAGTAACTAGGAGAAAGATACATTCCCCTTCTTGGCTGTTGCACCTGGGTTCGTTCAGTTGCTCAGGCTCTGTGACGTCCAGGCACGGAGGGCCCTGCGCTTGTGCAGACAGACTTCTAGCATGCTTCAATGGGCGGAGCAGAATGAGTTGTGACAAAGGAGTTTCCACGCTCTTTTCCATTCTCCCGAAAAAACCCCAGTATGATACCCTATAGGACCCTTATATAGCCCCAATATTATACCCTATATAACCCTTATAAAACCCCAATATAAACCAAAAACCCTTAACCCTGCAGGACAAGCCGAGCTAAGGGACCGATAAATTTTAATCAACAAATCAGTGCATACATCTTTACACATGCAGTCCCCCTTAAGTAGATAGAATATGGGGTATATGGGGATCTTATTATAATAGACCCGAACCCAAGAGACATATATATTTGCATGTATGTTGCAGGACGCAAGTGCCGCTAGTGCAGTCTATAGTCGCGACCGAACCTAGCTTTTAGCTTGACAGTTTCCTGCGGAGCTATACACACGCGGAGCTATACACACGGAAGCCGCTCCTGCACAGGAAAGTCCAACGGTACAGGTCGCACTTGCAGGAGGCAGGCTTTGCATTTTGGATGTGCAGCGGTGTTTTTGAGACGTGGGCTTCCAAAAGACACGGGTCCTTCTTGGGAGTCCCAGAAATGGGGGTTCTCAGATTTTGACAGGAATATACGGCCAATGGAAGGAGGGCCTGCCCTTTTGGAACTACCCCTGGTGCATGAACACTTCTTTCGCAATTCTTCCTTGCTTGCCGAGTTGTGGAGCTTTGTCACTGATTTAGGGGTTACAATATTATTCCCTCCAAGAGCGCCCCTCCCTCATTTCGAATCCTATTGGGCTGTTTTAGGTTCTATATCTTCCTTACTAGGTCCTTAAACCCTGCGGGGGAAAGGGAGGGATGGTATTACAACCCCCAATTGACTCCCTAAAGCCCTAAACCCATTGATTTGTATTGAACCAGAGCTACTGGCTCAAGAGCTGGGAAGCTACTCATCAATAGGGAGCCATGGGTCCACGACTGACCTCAGCCTTATGGCCCGTGGGTCTCCTATCTTCTCAGTGCAAGCTTTGGATTTTTTTGGGGGTTGAGGGTTTAGGTTTTAAGGTTTACGGTTTGGGTTTTAGGGCTTAGGGTTTAAGGTTTAGGATTTAGGGTTTAGGGTTTAGGATTTAGGGTTTAGGGTTTACGTTTTAGGATTTAGGGTTTAGGTTTCAGGGTTTAGGGTTTAGGGTTTAGGTTCAGGGTTATAGGTTTTAAGGTTTGGGGTTTGGGGTTTGGGTTTGAGGGTAGGGGCTTAGGGTGTCGTACAAGGCCGCAGAATCTGAGAAAAGAGACAAGGCACCTCTAGGGTTGAGGGTTTTTGGAGGTTAGGGTTTCGAGTTTTGGGGTCTAGCTGGGCTTAGGGTCTAGTGTTTGGTGTAAGGTTTGGGGGTGAGTTGATGCTTTCGAGTTTAGGGGTCTAGCGCTTCGGGATCGACGGTGCACGGTGTAGGGCGTAGTGTTTAGGATTTAAATGCTTAGGAGTCTGGCTTTCGGGCTTTTAATCTAAGGTTTAGACTTTTGGGATTTAGGGTTGTGTTCAGTGTAGGAATTAGGATTTGGAGTTTGGGGCTTTTGGAGTTTTGGGGTTTGAGATGTTTGTTTTGGGCTTGGGGGCAAGGTTTGGCAATTCAGGCTTGAGGGGCTTCAGGAATCAGAGTTTGGGGTTCTTACAAGGTTAAAATTCCTGCGATGATATTGCATTGCTCGAAGCCTCTATACCCCAGCCAAGTACTCCAAAACGAAGGGGTTCTGAGGAACATCTTTAGAAGCCGTGTCCAGTGCTGATATCAGAAGATCGTGTCAGGGCAAGCCATCATCTGAATACTGGTGGCGCGTCAGGATTGGTGGAAAAGATCCTGAAAGTAAACCCCTTACAGTAATCCTTGAACCCTGAACCCTAAAACCCTAAGCCCCATATGGCTTCCTTCCATACCACCAACAAGTAAGCAAAAAGTGGTTCTTCAGGGGTCCAAGGACCCAAATGACAGGGTTTTAGGGCCCAAAATCCATGAATTCATATTATAGCATTTGGGCCCAAACCCTAAACCCTAAACCCTAAACCCTGAGTCCTTGGACCCTCAGGGGTCAAGAACATAAACCCAGCGCCCGGGGTCTGAATTGGGCTTGCCCAGAGAAGAAACCTCACCTCAACACCCGGACCCAAACTGGTACTTTTAGGGTTTAGGGTTTAGGGTTTAGGGTTTTGTGGGGGGGGGTGTAGGGTTTAAGGTTTAGGGTTTAGGGGTACTGTTGATACTAAAAATCCTGCATGGCCCTGGTATACTACAATACTATAATTCCCAAAGCATAAGGTCCTTAGGGTCATGCTGGATTTTTAATATCCACCGTATATTCAGGGTTTTGGCTGCAGGGTTTAGGAATTAGGGCTTCGGATTTACTGTGCAGGGTTAGGGGATCAGGGTCCAGGGCTTCAGTTTCGCTACTTCAACCCTCCAAAACATCAGGACTCTGCTATAAGCACATGACAGTCATAAGGTCCTTCTGATAGAGGCTGGGGTACCTAAAGCCACTTACAAAGCCCAAGCCCAGAATCCTCAAACTTCTAGCGGTCTAGGGTTAAGGGTCTTAAATTAAAAGAGCAGGCATGGATCCCTATAGAAGTCCATAGATAGTCTTCTACAGTCATCCCTACACCCTAAACCCTGGACCCTAAACCCAAACCTGAAGTCCAAACCCTAACACCTAAGCCCCAAAACCTAGTACATACTATATAGCTACATGGAGCTTTTGGGTAGACTATCCCTAAACCCTAACCGTAGACCCTAAACCCTAGAATATCCCTTGAAATTCTTGTAGCCCGCTCCCCGATTTCGTACTTCACACCAAGCAGCCCCAAGCCCGGCCGTGGGTGTAGCATGTAAAGCTTGAGGTTTAGGGTGCAGGGTTTAGGGTGGGGGGTTAGGGTTTAGGGTCTAGGATTTTGGTTTTTGGTTGGAGCTAGGGCTTAGGGTTCCATCCTGAACCCTGAACTCCAAAACCGAAAACCCTCCACAGCACGTCCTCAATCCCCAATTCCAAACTCTAAGTCCTTACCCTTACACCCTACCTGGAGAAACCAATAGACCTTACAAGAAACGACCTTGCACCACATTTTTTGGTATCCATACCTTTTCTTGGGTAATTGCAAGTGTGAGGTTTCTCCGGCTGGGGCCTCAAGCCTAAACCCCATGACCGTGACCCCTAACATTGGAATCCTAAGCCCTAAACCCTAAACCCTAAATCCTAAACCGTCATCCTAATCCAGAGCTCTGAGCCCTACATTCAAACCGTAATCCCTAAGCCTTGAATCCAAAACTCCAAGCTCTAAACCCCAATAAGCCCTACACCCCAAACCCCAAACCCTAGACACAGCCACAAACCCTAAACCCTAAACCCCAAGCCCCAAAGATCCTAAACCCTCAACCCTAAACTAAACCCCAAACCCTAAACCCCAAACCCCAAACCCTAAACCCTAAACCCCAAAGCCTAAACCCCAAACACCCCCAACCCCAAACCCCAAACACCCCCAAACCCCAAACCCTAAACCCCAAAGACCCTAAACCCCAAACCCTAGAGACCCCCCAACCCTAAACCCTAAACCTCTTGAGGCGTCTGCAGGCTTCAGAGCGGCTCCAGGGCTCGAAAAATAGATCTGAACCTGCTAGGAGGGACTAGTAGGCTTTAGGGTTTAGGATTTAGGGTTTCGGGTTTAGGAGGGACAAGGGGACTTAGCAAGTAGGGTTTTTGGGTTTAACTTGGGGTTTGGGGTTTAGGGGTTTAGGCTTTAGGGA